CAAGTAAATAATGAATTGAGTAATGCATAAATATATAAATAAATAAAACTATAATCTGTTAAGTAAATACATTAATAAAAACTGTAAATGATTACTTAAATATGATTTTATTTACTTAATACAAATAATAGTTCACCTTAAATATGTATTCATTCATTTATTAAAAAGGATATTTTATTTGAATAAATATTTCCTTTACTAAAGCAATTTAAGTACCACAGAAAGATAGTAAATATTTAAAAGAAAAGTTTATTCTTCCCATTGTAAATAAATAAACAATTACTTGAGTAATTAATAAATGAGTACTAAATTAATATATAATAAATAATAAATTGATAAATATTGTAAATACATTTATATACACATACTTACATATTATGAACAAATATGTTTACAAAATAAAACTAATTGTTTTATTTTAATGAATAGATATGAATCCATTTATTCACAAAAATGATAATTGTAATAAATGTTTGAGTAAACATTTGCTTTACTTAAGTAATTATTTATTAAATTACTACAGAAAAATTATAAATATTTAAAATACATTTTAATATTTCTGTAGTAATTAAATAATTGAGTAAAGTGAACATAAACAAATAAATAATTAAATTCCAATGTTAATAAATATTTATGTAAACATTTGCTCTATGTAAGTGATTATTTAATTACTACAGAAAATTATAAATATTTAAAAATAAAATTTTAATATTTCTGTAGTAATTAAATAATCGAGTGAAGTGAAAATAAATGACTGAATGAATAAATAAATAAATATTAAAATAAATAAAAAATACATAAATATTAAAACGATCATCTTTGTTTAGTAAATAAATAAATATCAAAACAAACATTGAATATAAATATTTACAAAAATAAAGAAATACCAAAATAACACTTGTTTACTCATTTTTTAAATGTATTTATTTACTCATGAATTTTTATCTTAGGTCTGATGCAGAAAGCAGAACTAATAATAAGTGGTGACATAACAATGCCAGTCAGTGATTAACATGAAAACAAGTGAATTTGACTATACAGTATGAACATGTATGAACATAAACATTCTTCTCTGATATCTGACCTCATAACTACAGCTGAAAGTGACCAGGCAGGTGGAGAATTAAAGCTAACATTCATCTTTAATGAGGCTCAAGAAGGTGTCACCCTCCTCCGCCTGTCTGCGCAGCTGACCAATGCAGCTGCCCCCCAGCTATTATAAATCAAACCCCTTGAGGAAGGAAATCTGCTCATTTCCCCCTGGTTTGCCATGCGTTTTTCCATTATCCTGTATACCGTTCCCTCAAACACGTTGTGTTCGCGTCAGTCACAACTGGCCAGACAGTTGGTCTCTCATAACTGCTTGTTTTAATGCAATTATTAAATACACTTTGGACTGTTATGGTTTAGTCGCTACACATTGTCACGCTGAACGCGAGCGACGCGACGCAAGCCGAACGCGGCAAAAACAGCTTCATTAATTATATAGGAAGCGTTCCGGTTTTGTTGCGTCGCGGCTGTAGATGGGGCGTGAATCTCATAAGAGTCCTAGAACGCAATGCCGTGCCGCAGTACTGCTTCAAGACATCAATTAAACACTTTAACAGCTTAATTTCGCTAAAACATCACAAGGTGACCGGCTCCAAGCACCTGAGCAACGAAATGTAACGCAGCTACGCGGAGCAGGGGATCAGCGAGCGTTGCGTTTAGATCAGCGTTCGTCCAAATCAAATAGCTGCATTTGTTCTCACAATAGATTAACTATTTGTAAACATGCGTTATACTTCGCAAATAATTAAAGAAGATATTCCATAACTCACGGTTATGCGGGGAATATTCTTCTTGCCCTGATAGCCAGACATCTTCTTTATGCTCTATTCCCTTTGATGAAGCGCTATCACTGGGATAATGGATGCAACGAGCTGTTTGGGAGGGGAAATGGCCTGGTTTAGCACAGTTTTTGTAGTCCTTTAGGAATTAAGAGGCGAGCGGAGGAGGTCAAAGCGCTAGAAATGTAAAGGACAAAGGACCTGTGCCCAATATCTCCTCTCCACCGATGCACCAAGTCCACCCAGACTGTTTGAGACAAAACGAGAGATTTTCATAGCGGAGAGCAGCGCGCATGCGCACAACCCCGCCCTGGATAGCCTGCAGCTCCTCCTCTGAGTCCACAGAGGGTGACCAATGTTTCAGACAATGGGTTTAATGGCACACGGATCAGTGTTTGCATGACCTGATCGAAAATGACGGAAAACAAAAACTGTGCGATGAATAATAAACAAAATTTGTATACAAACGATTATGGAGATTAATAAAAGTGTCAATGACATGGCTCATTTTTTTTCTGGACTAATTAATTAAAAAATACATAAAATGTGATTCACAAAGATTAACAATGATTACATACATACATATATGTATATGTATAAATAAAAAAATTAAAAGGCAGATATATCTTAGGGAAATGTATTTGTAAAGCATATGTTATTCAATATATATATATATATATATATATATATATATATATATATTCGTTATATTATTCATTGTTCATAATATATGTATAAATTATGTTTAAATATTATTATTTTTATTCTAAACAAACCAAATAATCTCGACACACAGTCAAGAAGAAAATAATAATAAAATAAATTAATACGATTGATATAATAAAATCACATATTTTAGGCAAAGGCTTGTTTTATTCAAATAAAGTAACCCTACGAAAACCTCTTGATATTCATGACGCAAGCATTCTTGTCAAATAATTTTTACTTTGAATATTATGTTTGAAAATAAATGGTTCGATAAGCTGTGCACAGTAATCCAATAAATGTGACTTAAAGACTTTTAAATTATCTTCGTATATTACTATAAACATCAAAAAGACACTTGAGTGGTAACAAAACAATTTATGTTTGCGAGTTTTAGCTCTAGCAAAGAGAAGTATATTTAAAGAATATGTTATTTTATATATATATATATATATATATATATATATATATATATATATATATATATTCGTTATATTATTCATTGTTCATAATATATGTATAAATTATGTTTAAATATTATTATTTTTATTCTAAACAAACCAAATAATCTCGACACACAGTCAAGAAGAAAATAATAATAAAATAAATTAATACGATTGATATAATAAAATCACATATTTTAGGCAAAGGCTTGTTTTATTCAAATAAAGTAACCCTACGAAAACCTCTTGATATTCATGACGCAAGCATTCTTGTCAAATAATTTTTACTTTGAATATTATGTTTGAAAATAAATGGTTCGATAAGCTGTGCACAGTAATCCAATAAATGTGACTTAAAGACTTTTAAATTATCTTCGTATATTACTATAAACATCAAAAAGACACTTGAGTGGTAACAAAACAATTTATGTTTGCGAGTTTTAGCTCTAGCAATTCAGAACAGTATGTAATACCACAAATAATGCCTTCTTAAAGTTAATCTTTTGCCCCGAATCTTAGTTTATTAATATGCAAACACTACAGCTCAATATCCGGGTCCTTCTGGCTGCTTTGGGCTCAGTGCAGTAGACCTAAACATGCTATCGATCTCTGCAGTCATTAAGGCCTATCAGTGAAGAAGAAGGAAAAAAAAGCATAAATCACTTTAAATCACACTTGCCAAACATAGAACAATTTCCTGTTTGGTATACTGGGTGACAGAGTGTTTTCTTGACTGTAGGATCATGTTACCGTGTATAAAAGCACTGTCATATCTGACTGACAACGTTCAGTGAAAAGGCTATATAATTTTCTCCTCTTATGTGAAAAAGGAGGGTAATTCTGAATATAATTCTGAGTGGAGGTGATTCTGAGTCTTATGAGCTTTTTAACAGGTCCCAAGTTATTGCTCTTAAAGCCCTGTTGGGGCGTACTTCAATCACAGCTCAGCATCACTGTCACTGTAGCTATGGTTACCGCATCCAGATACCAAGGCCCACACATACAGCCTCTTGAATTATTGGGCTCTTAGCAACAACTGGACTGTAAAAAACCTTATTGGATGTTTTAATCACCATCATTTTTAAGGTTTGTACACTTTATTTTGAAAAATGATCTGTTGCTAGAAGGGCTGCATCTTATTTCCAAATTAATTAGTTCTAAAGTTTGTGAGGTATAATGACTAAAGACATTTTATGTATCATTTACCTTTTTTTTCTGTGAGAACAGCAAATATTCAAGTTTTAAAATAATTCATGATTTTATTCAACTGCAACAAGAAATATTGCACAGTCAGCTGGTTGTCATCACACAATAAAACCAGACAGGGTGATCAGATTTTGGATCATCCTGAAGGGACATTTTTTATGATAATGATCACCTCACTGTACATTAGCGCACATATTTCTACATACTCAATAAATAGACAGTGAGTTGAAATTATTCTGTCATATGAGACCAAAGAGAGTGCAGAGTGATACAACTCTGAAACTATCAGTTTAGGAGATTGATTGCTGGGTAAAAAGTCAAATATAAAGTTTAGAGGTTATTATACATAAATATTTGAAAACAACATTGCGACTGACCAAGCAGAATCAAGCATTCTGCAAAATATTAGCTGTGTAATATAGACTGCAAATTAGTAGAACTAATATAAATTTATTTTTTTTTTTTTTTTTTTTTTTTAAATAAGTACAAAAACAATCATTAAACAACTTAGGGTGTCAACTTTAAAAACATATTTCATATTTTTATAATGATTTTTAAACCAGTATTCATAATTGAATGGATTCCACAGAACCAGCTTTCCTTTTTATGGAAATATTTTCAAATCTAGGTACATAAATATACTCCAAGCTATGTTTTTTGTTTTTTTTAATCAAAGCATTAGAACACAACAATAAAGCTTTTTGTCTGGTTGATTGTTATTATAAACAAAGGAGGCTGCATCTGAATGAAGATTGCTTTATGCAATCGTGTTAATGCTTCCACCCACATGACAGTGCACAATCCCTGCAGCTCTTACCTCGTCGCTTAGGTTCTGCAGAATCTCTTTTCCAGTACTTCTCCTGATCTCCACCTTTCGTGGTTTGGAGATATCCTTCTGCCTCTCGATCACTCGACCTTTCCCTGAGGACAGCGAGTTAAAGTCCAGCGTCTTGTTCTCGGCCGAACCCTCCACCGGGCAGAACATGCCACAGAATTTCTGCCGTGGCTGGTTGGGGCTGGAGCTTCCCATGTTCTGGAAGAACGCAGGCACATCTCCGGCAGCAGACATTTCTCTCAGTGAATACTGTCAGGTGGATGCAAAGGCACGCAAACCTCCGGCTACAGAGCTCTGTGGACACTAAATGTTAGTTTTCCCATTGAGAGGTGAGAAACAACATTACATGTGAGGCGAGGAGGTTCCTATACTTGTCAGAGAAATCGTAAAAGAATACTAACGGAATGTAAACAGTTAAATGAAGTGAAATAATAAAAACAATCCATTAGCATTCTTCAGGACTACATGAGTCGCCAAAACAATACATTTTATTATCCACACCATTCAGCCCTGCATATTAATATGCAATTGATCGCAAAACCCTTTAGAAAAGATGCCTACTCATGTTGAACAATCTGTTGAACAATACAAAAACACGACGAATGAATGCAAATAAATGTGGACCGTGCAAATGATGTTGTTATTAAACGCAACACATCAGGATTTGATAGTATTATATCTACTGAAGCGATGACAAACATTCAGAGCAAACCCAGAGATGTTACCGTAAATTAGACGCGAGACCGACGGAGGATGAGGTGACTGCTGGAGAGAGGAGAGGAGAATCAGCGGAAGTGATGCGGGGTTTTCAGGGTTAAAGATGTAATGTGTCCATATCTGAGGGCTTTTCCCCCGGATGACTTGTCACTTAATGCCTATTGTGAGATACCTTTGTTAGCATTCGCTCTGTGTGTTTGGGGAACACGCGCTGGATGTGGTACACAAAGAGAAATGTATGGTAGGTGTAGTCGTAGAATGGATAATGACTCTTAATTTGTATTATTATTTCTTTATCTGCGGTCTGAGTCGTCGCCCCGTTGATAGTTGAAGCGCCACGCCCATGCAGGTTAAAGTTAAGGGCGCTGTCCGTTCAGCACCACGCGCCGGAGCCGCGACTAATCACGGAGGTTATGAATGATTCACTGTTTATATGATCTGGGTTATGAGTGGAAGTTCACACAGGACGCGTTCGTCTGAGCTCTTTTTATGCACACACGTGTCGTACACATACAGTAGCCTATATGTACAGTACAGTATTTGGCCGTTGTGGTACGTCTCGTTTAAAGAAGGGGAATTTAACCATTCTAATTTGTTTCTTCTGGATTATTTGAGTAATTATGAGGGAAAATATTTGGGGGGAAATGTCATTCTTATTGCCTTTACTGTCTGTAGCCAAATTATGAGACAATTTCAGAGTTAAACAAAATTAATATACATACAAAACAACCGACACAAAAAATAAATGCATAACAAATAATTGTATATTTTATATTGCAATATATATTACAATGGGCTAAATCAGGGGTCACCAGACTCGGTCCTGGAGGGCCGGTGTCCTGCAGAGTTGAGCTCCAACCCTAATTAAGCACACCTGAACCAGCTAATCAAGCTCTTACTAGGTATACAGGCAGGTGTGTTGAGGCAAGTTGGAGCTAAACTCTGCTGGACTCTGGCCCTCCAGGATCAAGTTTGGTGACCCCTGGGCTAAATACATATTGATCCTAACTATATATGCATAAAACACTAAATTAACAAAATGTGGTGACATTTCTGTATTTTTTTATATTAAAAAAATGCATAAAATAGCTACCATAAACTCAGTGTCTAATCAGTCTATACATGTTGACATTTATGAAGTATCAGCCAATAGCCTAATTTCAGTAGGCTAATTTAAGTCACGGCCTTAATACAGTAACAGTTCTTCAATTCGATTAGAACAAAATGATAAATAATAATATGTGGTTCAGTGAGTCTAAGTGAGTCAGTAACTGCTCTAACTGATTCATGGTATATATATATATATATATTTTGAGTTGGTCAAATGAACCGTCTCATATTCGTTCAGAAATCGGAATACTGGTCACGTTGTAGCTATATGTTTTGAATCACTGGAAAGATTAGACTCATAAGATTCATTAGCTCGGGAGTCGGACTGCACTGAAGAATGGCTGACATTAGTTTTCAGAACGAGACATTTAAAAGAGACATTAAAAAGAACCAAATCCCGTAAGTCATTCGTTCTGGACGATACATTAAAAAGAGGAACCATTAAAGAGATTAATTAAAAAAAAATCAAAACACATGAGTCATTCGTCGGGTAATCGAACTATTCTGAGAATATTGAGTATGGAGCTCGCTTTGAAGTAAAAAAGCTAAGACATTTTGCGCACATTTTTTTTCTTCATTTGGCATTGTTTGCTGCGTATGTTACAGTTTATAAACAAATATTAGCCGGTGGAACATTTCGATGGAGAGTCACTCACTAGAGACTCGCCGTTCTGTTTGCTTCTCCAAAGCAGCCTCACAATAATACCTAGCTCCAAAAGCCCAGTTTCCATAACAACAACATGTGCCCTCACCCGCTCAAAAGAGTTCCTGCTTTAGCTACTGTCTCTGAGGCTGTTGGACTGAGGGGGAGAAAGTGAGAAAGACAGTTTGTGCCACAAAAGGAACAAAAGATCAACCCGTTTCATTAATTTCTCAGACTTGCATACATAAAACTGACGCTGCAAAGAGAGACCTTAACAGACATTTACAAACCACTTCTCTGGTTAACAGAAGTCATTATGTGGCTTAGATAATGGCCTTGTTTTGGAGCACAACACACACACACGTCTGGTTTGCTATCCTTGTGGGGACTCTCCATAGGCGTAATGGTTTTTATACTGTACAGACCGTATATTCTATTGCCCTACACCAACCCCACACCTAAACCTACCCCTTACAGGAAACTTTCTGCATTTTTTGATTTTCAAAAAACTTCATTCTGTGTGATTTATTAGCTTGTTTACCCGTGGGGACCTCAATTTAGGTCCCCACCGTGACACGAGTCCCCATGAGTCTGTGTGTATTCCGGTTTAAGTCCCCACCAGAATAGAAAAACTGGTACACACATCACACACACACACACACACACACACACACACAGGGTCACCAGACTCGGTCCTGGAGGGCCGGTGTCCTGCAGAGTTGAGCTCCAACCCTAATTAAGCACACCTGAACCAGCTAATCAAGCTCTTACTAGGTATACAGGCAGGTGTGTTGAGGCAAGTTGGAGCTAAACTCTGCTGGACTCTGGCCCTCCAGGATCAAGTTTGGTGACCCCTGGGCTAAATACATATTGATCCTAACTATATATGCATAAAACACTAAATTAACAAAATGTGGTGACATTTCTGTATTTTTTTATATTAAAAAAATGCATAAAATAGCTACCATAAACTCAGTGTCTAATCAGTCTATACATGTTGACATTTATGAAGTATCAGCCAATAGCCTAATTTCAGTAGGCTAATTTAAGTCACGGCCATAATACAGTAACAGTTCTTCAATTCGATTAGAACAAAATGATAAATAATAATAATATGTGGTTCAGTGAGTCTAAGTGAGTCAGTAACTGCTCTAACTGATTCATGGTATATATATATATATATATTTTGAGTTGGTCAAATGAACCGTCTCATATTCGTTCAGAAATCGGAATACTGGTCACGTTGTAGCTATATGTTTTGAATCACTGGAAAGATTAGACTCATAAGATTCATTAGCTCGGGAGTCGGACTGCACTGAAGAATGGCTGACATTAGTTTTCAGAACGAGACATTTAAAAGAGACATTAAAAAGAACCAAATCCCGTAAGTCATTCGTTCTGGACGATACATTAAAAAGAGGAACCATTAAAGAGATTAATTAAAAAAAAATCAAAACACATGAGTCATTCGTCGGGTAATCGAACTATTCTGAGAATATTGAGTATGGAGCTCGCTTTGAAGTAAAAAAGCTAAGACATTTTGCGCACATTTTTTTTCTTCATTTGGCATTGTTTGCTGCGTATGTTACAGTTTATAAACAAATATTAGCCGGTGGAACATTTCGATGGAGAGTCACTCACTAGAGACTCGCCGTTCTGTTTGCTTCTCCAAAGCAGCCTCACAATAATACCTAGCTCCAAAAGCCCAGTTTCCATAACAACAACATGTGCCCTCACCCGCTCAAAAGAGTTCCTGCTTTAGCTACTGTCTCTGAGGCTGTTGGACTGAGGGGGAGAAAGTGAGAAAGACAGTTTGTGCCACAAAAGGAACAAAAGATCAACCCGTTTCATTAATTTCTCAGACTTGCATACATAAAACTGACGCTGCAAAGAGAGACCTTAACAGACATTTACAAACCACTTCTCTGGTTAACAGAAGTCATTATGTGGCTTAGATAATGGCCTTGTTTTGGAGCACAACACACACACACGTCTGGTTTGCTATCCTTGTGGGGACTCTCCATAGGCGTAATGGTTTTTATACTGTACAGACCGTATATTCTATTGCCCTACACCAACCCCACACCTAAACCTACCCCTTACAGGAAACTTTCTGCATTTTTTGATTTTCAAAAAACTTCATTCTGTGTGATTTATTAGCTTGTTTACCCGTGGGGACCTCAATTTAGGTCCCCACCGTGACACGAGTCCCCATGAGTCTGTGTGTATTCCGGTTTAAGTCCCCACCAGAATAGGAATTGATAAGTGTAATGTGGTTACACTTATTATAATGTATTATTATAAGGTGTATTACAAGGCATAATTAATGCATTAAAACTACTTTTATAATGCATTATAAATAAAGGCTTTAAGTAAAGTGTTACCAACAAAAAACGATTTGACACTGAGCAACAGTCATAGTGATGCTTGACTTAGGACAATAACAGTGTATTTTTATTAAAATGAAATTGACAAAAAAAAAAAAAATTGCATGAAACTTAAAAAAATTATATTAATAAACAGGGTTAAAAACACGATTCCTGAATATATTTTGAGCGGATATATTTGATAAATATTGAGCAGATGGGAAAATGTCCACAAACAGAGACAATAATGTTTGGCGACAATGGGACACAAAACAAAAAAAATGCAGAATGTTCATTACATTTTTTATTTTAAAACTTTGTCATTGTCCAACAGGGGAGGAAAAAAAAAGGTCTGTCAAATCAATAAACGTACAATTAATTTAATCATCGCATTGAAGTCTAAAGAAAGTATCTCCACAAAGGAGGATTCTTTCCGACCACAATTTGAACGCCAATACAAATAAAAGAACTAAAACCTTTTATCCATCATGTACCTTCACTCTTAAAAATAAAGGTGCTTCACAATGCCATAGAAGACACATCTGAAGAACCTTTCTGTTTCACGAAAGGTTCTTTGTGGTGAAAGAAGGTTCTTCAGATTATAAAAAGGTAAGAAAGAGATAATTGTGGAACCAAAAATGGTTAATCTATGGCATCGCTGTGAAGAATCTTTTAAGCACCTTTATTTTTACGAGTGTTCTCTTCTAGTTTGCCTTCATTTTTCAAGACTTAAAAAATCCAAACAAAGCATATGAAAAACCTTCCAAAACTCATGTTCACCAAGAAGATGGTGACACCTAAACCTACCCCTTACAGGAAACTTTCTGCATTTTTTGATTTTCAAAAAACTTCATTCTGTGTGATTTATTAGCTTGTTTACCCGTGGGGACCTCAATTTAGGTCCCCAAGTCTGTGTGTATTCCGGTTTAAGTCCCCACCAGAATAGAAAAACTGGTACACACATCACACACACACACACACACACACACACACGTCTGGTTTGCTATCCTTGTGGGGACTCTCCCTAGGCGTAATGGTTTTTATACTCTACAGACCGTATATTCTATTGCCCTACACCTAAACCTACCCCTTACAGGAACCTTTCTGCATTTTTAGATTTTCAAAAAACTTCCTTCTGTGTGATTTATTAGCTTATTTACCCGTGGGGACCTCAATTTAGGTCCCCACCATGACACGAGTCCCCATGAGTCTGTGTGTATTCAGGTTTAAGTCCCCACCAGAATAGAAAACAGGTACACACATCACACACACACACACACACACACACACACAAGCATGCATACTTCAGTCATCTGACTAGGAACCTCAGAACACCTGTTTCAGCCAATCACAAGACGGCAAATTAAATCACAGCTCCTCCCACTACAGCCTATGCGGTAGAATATAGAAATCACAGGAACTCCAGTTTTATTACCTATTATTTAAAGGGCATAATTATTTTTAAAAAGCTTAAATTTACATACAAAGTCGCTACATGTGACAAATTATGTAGAGCACTTAACCTCGGATACTTTTGATTGGTGTATAGCTGTGTGAATATGGCACACTTGGATAAAATAAGATGCAATTAATCATGGCAAAACAACACGCATTAAGATTCATGCCGATCCACTGTATTGTGATCTGATTTGCATCTCTGTGCTCGATATGAAAACGCCCTGCAGGTTGCAGCAACTGCTGACTCATCAATCATTTGGCTTCTGCAATGCTATTTAAAAGCGTTGAGAGACCTGACAGGGGCAAACTGTGGGAAAAAAAGATGTGTAGCTGTAGGCAACAGTATCCATAAACAGACACCACAACGTTTTGGAATACAAATGATGTCGTTTCTCACCCAGCCGTGTTCAGTCAGAATGAGGCACACCCTTAATTTCCCATCTGCGCCACTAGAGGACAGTCGAGTATCGCCTTAGACTGTCAACGCCTGAATGCCATCTAAACTGGTTTATTTTTTATTAAATTAAAACCAGGTGAACTCACAAAGGCAATTTAGCCGTTTAAGTGTCGGTAAAATTAGTTTTAGCCTCTTAGCTCTGGGTAAATGCGCGGAGCGCCCCTCGAGGATATAGCACAAATGAATTTGTGCAGCAAAATCAATGGATGAAATGGATTCAATAGTAATAGCTTTTCTGCAGGTTGCTGTAAAACCAAAGGACAGATGAAGCATTTCAGCCACAGATATCATATTCATAATATGCCTTCATAAATGGCACTGTGGTGCTCATCCAACTCTCCGTGATTTCTACCATAAGGAGCTTCAGCAAGAGATTGTGAAAAATTGACAGAAACAATGACAGAGCACAAATATGACAGGCATTTCATATTCACAGTTAGGATGAGGGCATGAACTTGTGCAAGAAACATGAGTCAGATGTAATGTGGGCCGGAGAGTTGGTCCGAATTCATGTTTAGGAGCCTGGGCTGGTTAACCCTCACATGTCAATGAGAAATTAAGCCACACTAATGGGAGGAATGTGGTGAGATCTTAATAACTGGGAGTTGTGTGTATTATGACAAATGGTTGATGAAAGGAACTCAGACATCACTCTATCTGTCTCTGGTGCAGTCTGGCTCCAACGTAATCATCTCACAGAAGTTTCAACAACAGGCTTGGTGTGTGAACTGTAGAGCCGGAGAAGATCTGACCCCAGGTCGAATTCCCACATTCCCAGCTCTGGAGATCTAATATAGGCCAATGCTGTGTTCTGAGTGGTTGCTAGTATTGCTGGATGCTTATATAATGGTAAAAAGGTAACCTTTAAAGCCTTCAAGTGTAATGCATTGTAAAGGGTTATTAAAGGGTATAATGCAATATAATTATTCATAATGAGCTTTGTAATACATTATATCTTCTAAGTAATTATAATCATATTTAAAATGCTTAGTGTAACAATGAATTGATAAGTGTAATGTGGTTACACTTATTATAATGTATTATTATAAGGTGTATTACAAGGCATAATTAATGCATTAAAACTACTTTTATAATGCATTATAAATAAAGGCTTTAAGTAAAGTGTTACCAACAAAAAACGATTTGACACTGAGCAATTGCATGAAACTTAAAAAAATTATATTAATAAACAGGGTTAAAAACACGATTCCTGAAGTAAAACCAAAGGACAGATGAAGCATTTCAGCCACAGATATCATATTCATAATATGCCTTCATAAATGGCACTGTGGTGCTCATCCAACTCTCCGTGATTTCTACCATAAGGAGCTTCAGCAAGAGATTGTGAAAAATTGACAGAAACAATGACAGAGCACAAATATGACAGGCATTTCATATTCACAGTTAGGATGAGGGCATGAACTTGTGCAAGAAACATGAGTCAGATGTAATGTGGGCCGGAGAGTTGGTCCGAATTCATGTTTAGGAGCCTGGGCTGGTTAACCCTCACATGTCAATGAGAAATTAAGCCACACTAATGGGAGGAATGTGGTGAGATCTTAATAACTGGGAGTTGTGTGTATTATGACAAATGGTTGATGAAAGGAACTCAGACATCACTCTATCTGTCTCTGGTGCAGTCTGGCTCCAACGTAATCATCTCACAGAAGTTTCAACAACAGGCTTGGTGTGTGAACTGTAGAGCCGGAGAAGATCTGACCCCAGGTCGAATTCCCACATTCCCAGCTCTGGAGATCTAATATAGGCCAATGCTGTGTTCTGAGTGGTTGCTAGTATTGCTGGATGCTTATATAATGGTAAAAAGGTAACCTTTAAAGCCTTCAAGTGTAATGCATTGTAAAGGGTTATTAAAGGGTATAATGCAATATAATTATTCATAATGAGCTTTGTAATACATTATATCTTCTAAGTAATTATAATCATATTTAAAATGCTTAGTGTAACAATGAATTGATAAGTGTAATGTGGTTACACTTATTATAATGTATTATTATAAGGTGTATTACAAGGCATAATTAATGCATTAAAACTACTTTTATAATGCATTATAAATAAAGGCTTTAAGTAAAGTGTTACCAACAAAAAACGATTTGACACTGAGCAATTGCATGAAACTTAAAAAAATTATATTAATAAACAGGGTTAAAAACACGATTCCTGAATATATTTTGAGCGGATATATTTGATAAATATTGAGCAGATGGGAAAATGTCCACAAACAGAGACAATAATGTTTGGCGACAATGGGACACAAAACAAAAAAAATGCAGAATGTTCATTACATTTTTTATTTTAAAACTTTGTCATTGTCCAACAGGGGAGGAAAAAAAAAGGTCTGTCAAATCAATAAACGTACAATTAATTTAATCATCGCATTGAAGTCTAAAGAAAGTATCTCCACAAAGGAGGATTCTTTCCGACCACAATTTGAACGCCAATACAAATAAAAGAACTAAAACCTTTTATCCATCATGTACCTTCACTCTTAAAAATAAAGGTGCTTCACAATGCCATAGAAGACACATCTGAAGAACCTTTCTGTTTCACGAAAGGTTCTTTGTGGTGAAAGAAGGTTCTTCAGATTATAAAAAGGTAAGAAAGAGATAATTGTGGAACCAAAAATGGTTAATCTATGGCATCGCTGTGAAGAATCTTTTAAGCACCTTTATTTTTACGAGTGTTCTCTTCTAGTTTGCCTTCATTTTTCAAGACTTAAAAAATCCAAACAAAGCATATGAAAAACCTTCCAAAACTCATGTTCACCAAGAAGATGGTGCGGAACAACAAAAAGAACGAGCTTGTGGCACAAAACACGCACATGACAGGAAATGATGACAGGATGCCGTATCAAACATGATTAAGGAAACGAGGCACAAAATTCATATAAGAGTTGAACTCTCAGTTGGTTTTGGCAGCTGTGTTCGAGGAGAAGTAGATCCTCAGACCAAAGGAAACATGTTCACACATCCAAAATACACTTAAAAAGAGACAAAAACACAACTAGACTAAAGGATAATTCACTTTAGGGTTGAAAACACAAACCCTGTTCCCAAAGATGAGCGCTGGGATGTTCATGCCCAGGATAACACAGTCACCCGTGGTGCTGGAGTGTTAGTGTTCACTAAATGTGCGTGACTGTGTAAGTGTGCTTGAATAGTAGCTCACACAAGAATTCAAATTCGGCCATCATTCAACCTTTCGGAGATATTTGAAAGAAACTCAAGCTGCTCTTTTACAGTTGATCTCTATTATGGAAAAGAGCAGCACAGAAATTGTCCAAAGTTTCGTCTTTTGTGTTCTACAGATAAAATAAAAACATACAAATAATGACAGAATGTCCTTTTTTTCAATGAGCTATTCCTGTAAATTGAAGAAAGGTTTCTCTTGTACTGTTGTCCTCAAGCTAACAGCATGGAGATGCTATAAATAAATACGAGACTGAGAAGTATGAGATTGTACTACAACATTTCCAGAAAGTCTGACACAGATAGTATGGCAAAACACTGAAGCCGCTGTCCTTGTTAGCAAGATCCTCTCAGCTCTGAATGCTAATGGTAAATTGTGCAGTATTGCAAAGTAGGTTATGTTGTAGACGCCTAGTAAGAAATCACTAGGTCCTGATATGTATGTGAAGGGAACTAACAAAACAACACAACAAATCTTTTTTTCATATTGGGATCCGTCAGCCCCATCAGACTGGTTTTTAATCTATGTTCATGAGATGAAATATTTTCCATCCTCAACAGATGAGTTTGGGGTCTACGGAGAGCCCTATCCTTCCCAAGTCCATCATCCTGGCGTTCCGCCCTTGAAGTCAATAAAAGAACTAAATTGGTAGCATTTGTAGAAATAAATAAAATCTTAGCTAGCGCTCAGGCATGCTCGTATAACTTCAATAAGTCTTATATTTTGGTTGATTCCATTTTGAGGGTGAAAACTAGGGGGATTCTTTATCACCTTTTGGGTCATGTGATTGGACCAAAATGGGATGTTTTTTGCCTCCTAGCTGAATCGAGCTAGTGTGGAGCTAGCATGTGTGCAATTTGGTTTCATGCAATGCTCCAAATACTTCCAAAATAAAATAGTACTACAAAGGGGGTGTTAGAACATTCACAACTGGAAAAAGAAAAGGGCCTGAAATGAGGAGAAGTTTATCACTTATGCTTCTCAACATGGAAAGGCTAATTAAAGGAATTACTAAAAAAGGGAGAAATGTTGCTGACAGGACTTAAAGGAGCAGAAGGGGGCAGCGGGGGGCTTCTTCGTACAAACTGCAACCTTCTCCCTAATCCACCTGGGCCATGCCTGAGGCACTTGATCAGATCGGTGTTCAAATGGAGCTTGCAGGTGAAGGTGTCAGTCTTTTCCCGATATAGACCCTGTTTTAGAGACACAGGACAAAAGAAAAAGAAATGAAAATGTCGTTAAAGGAATAGTCCAAAAAAAAAAAAAGGTCATCATTTACTCACACTCATGTCGTTTTAAACCTGTATATGTTACTTTCTTATTTTGAACACCAAAAGAAGATATTCTTTTGATAGACTTTTGAAGAAAAAACCCCCCAAAATCGGCGCATTAAACCAACAAAAAGATGCAGGTTTAAAAGTGATTTCTGTGTGAGCAGTGCTTCATAATATATAAATAATAGACCCATTTCACCCGCAAAATTACGAAAATGTGACCACATGCTTATCCCGCACAAAAAATGTAAAATCTATCCATAATCTGAAATCTTCAAGTCTAGTTTTGTGCAACTTCCAGAAGTCAGGGTGCTTAGGTTATTTATTGTTTCACTGGGAAAGAGAGTTGTGTTTTCAAAGCTATTCGGAGAAAACTAGTTGAGAGATTTGACTAAATTGCATGGTATGCTGTCTATATCCACCTTTTTCATGAACGCAGAAGTCTTGTCTGCCTCGTAGCGGAAAGATGCTTAACTCTGTGCACATTTTTATATTTAGTTATATTTTGAAAGTTTCAGTTTAATTAATTCAGTCAATCATTTTAACATGGAATTAACATGGAGAGCATCCAAACAGAAGTTAGAATCCATCATGTCGGAGCTCATCAGTCACTCAGGAAAAAGGTGGATATTGTGCGTTTTTGAGGCTGTTTGTATTAAGTAATGTGCCCTTCAAGTGGAGTCGGAAATACTGTATTTACGAGTTTTGAGCACATAAATGACCAAGCTAATTTGTATGTACGAATGGGAAATTCTGAATTCTAAATACATGAATTGTCTAGTTGTTGATTTAAACCATTGTGGAAACACAGATCTATGATAAATAACAAAAAAAATCTATAATATTTATGAAAAGATCAGTGAGCAGAAATCAAGTCTATAATGAATTATAGTTAATAATTTTTCAACTTATTTTCATTTTACATGCTATTATTTGCTTATTGCTTAACTCTCACAGTTTGCTTTATGTACTCCCAAAATTTGTTTCGATAAGATGCATAAATGACAAAAGTAAAAAAAAGAAAAGAATGATAGATAGATGTAGTTATTTCACAATTATATCACAATATTATACTTTTGTTTTTCGCATTCATGTAACGATTCTGTTTTGAATGTGTAACTTCTTATAATAACGAATGCACTAGAAGGCAGCCTAAACTACATATGTGTGAAGTGTGATTGTGTTTTAAGGTGTATCTACCCGAGACCCAGGACCAGGATGTGGGACAGAAGCAGTGAGGGGATAAACACTTTGAGGAACTCAGAAGAGAAGATCCCTCCTTTCTTCATGGCTCCTGTCTTCCTCATGCTGAGAGTCACTGAACGCCGCGGGTGCCGGAAATGAAACTCCCTGTCAGAAAGATCAATCTACCAGTCATTACAACAGCATCCCACCTGGCCTGAACAAAAAAAAAAAAACTCAAAACACTATATGTGTCACAAAACCTAGTGAGCTCCCTATCCAGATCACTTGTTAAGGGATCATATGCATAATTCTGGCATGGGTACAGTTTTAAATTCTAAAATGCCTCATTCTGACCTAAATTTGGCAACATCGCAGAATTATGTCGGAGCTGATAGCCTTGTGGGCAGTGCAGGGTTATTATAGTTAACTACAACTAAAACCCAAAAAAAAAAAAAAAAAAACCTGTTCGAACTAAATAAATATTAACTGAAAAAAAAAAATTGCCAAGACAACATTTCTCATTTTCATTCATTTAATTGGATGTACTAAATCTTAAACTAAAATAATAATTGATAAAAACTATATACTTAAAAAAGACAAAGACGTTAAAATGAAAATGGACATCAAAAATTAAATATTAATACAAACTATAATAGTATCTGAAAGACACTAAATAGCACTGCATTTGAGTCCTCGCTAGTGCTTACTTAGGTGGAATATTCTCAGGTCTACTTGACCAGTCTGCGACCCGGTCTGAATCCTTCATTAATATGTCATCATCTCTGATCTTCTCCATGACTTCCTCCTGAGTGGACACAGACACACCCAAACACAAGCACAGACAGATAATGAAGATAAGCCAGAGTACGTTCCATAAATTAGATGATCCACAATGTTCTCAAGAGGAAGTACCTGGCTGTCCCTCCTCATGTCCACGTCAAAAATGATCTGGCCTTCATCCTGAGGACTGTGAGGTCGAGGAGGGCTGTGGGACACAGCAGTTTAAAGTAAGCTAAGAATTGTCATTAAAATAACTTTTGTATGACTTCAGAAGATAATTTTATGATCATTTGTTGCCATTTTTGTCCCAACAGCTTTCATTGTATGGAAAAGAGCAGCTGGGACATTCTGCTAAATATCTCCTTTTGTGTTTCCCAGCACAAAGACATTCATACAGGTTTAGAACGGCAGTTTTCATTTCTGTGTGAACAGTGCTTGAGAGAACATTAGTCTGTGTACATATGAGAGAGGAACACTGTATTCCTACAGTAAAGATCCAGAATCATATGACTCACTGAGTTTGAGTCAGATAAGGGTTATTATGGCCGTATCCTATCAGCATGAGGTCAGTGTGACCACGTGCAATTTGGTATGGATGTTCACAGCACTGCTCTCTATCTATGAGGTCATTAAACTCAAGCTGTGAACTCAGGTGACATTTGCATATTATATTATATTATATATATATATATATATATATATATATATATATATATATATATAAAGTGGACTATGTAAACATCATCTTAAAGGGATAGTTCACCCAAAGATGAAATTTCTGTTGTGTCATTCCATGTTTTCTCAATTCCACTCAGTTCTCATTCATGCTTGACTTTTGTTAGGTTTGATTGTAAGTAAATAATGACAGAATTTAAATTTTGTGGCATAAATATGGTGTCTACCTGTCGCATGAGGAGTTACTGCGGCTGGATTCGTGCTGGGCATCTAGCAGGATTTTTTCCATGTCTCCATTGTGGATAGAAGATGATGAGGGAACGTGTTCCAGCCCCCCCACCATCCCATCCTCCTCCTCTACTACTTGGGCTAAAGGGGGCGGTGGCACTGAGGCGCTGGAGGAAGAGAGAGATGCGGCGTTTCTGTTCATCTCCAGCTCTACCCATGACCCTAAAAAAGACCACAAAACAATCACAACATTAATAAAGATTATAAGATAACCTTAAATTTTTATTTATTTATACATAGTTTTTTAATATTTAACAAAAAAAAATTTTAGTTATGCAAAAATATGTATTTCGGTTTATATTTCTCCACAAAATCAAAAGATGGAAATAAGAACTCATACTTAAGAACTCAAAAATAAAGCTACTAAGATTTTTTTTTTTCATTGTGATGTTGTGGAAAAAACACTAATTTTCATTACTCTTAATGCAGAAAAGTAAAAATATATTTTGTACAGTGTATAAGTGTATAAGACAATGAATAAACAGAATAGTCATGATGTATTGACCAAAGACACCCAACTGACGCAGGACAGACATGAAAAGAAAGAACAAAAGCAAGAACAAGTCCTATGGGATTGGCTTATTGGGATTGTTATTTTTATCAGCTTATAAAAGTGTGCAGATCATTTTAATGTTTGCTAGAATTATAATCAAGCACTACAAAGTCATGTAGGTGACAAAAGCCTTTTATTTCAAATAAATGCTTTTCTTTTAAACTTTCTATATCTAAGCATCCTAAAAAAAGCATATCACGGTTTCCACAAATATATTAAGCAGCACAACTGTTTTCAACATTGATAATGATAAGAAATGTTTCTTGAGCAGCAAACCAACATATTAGAATGATTTCTGAAAGATCATGTGACATTGAAGACTGGAGGAATGATGCTGAAAATTCAGCTTTGCATCACAGGAATAAATTACATTTTAAAATATATTCAGACAGAAATATGTTATTTTCAATAGTAATAAAATTTTACACTATTACTGTATTTTTTAACCAATAAATGTAACCTTGGTCAAAGCTTGGACTTCCATATAAAAACTGAATAAAATAGAAATACTGCAGTGCAAAAAATCTAAAGGGGTCATATGATACGATTTAAATTTTTCCTTTCTCTTTGGAGTGTTACAAGCTCTTGGTGCATAAAGAAGATCTGTAAAGTTGCAAAGACTAAAGTCTCAAATCCAAAGAGATATTCTTTATAAAAGTTCAGAGTCAACCACACATGTCTACCTCACTATGTGGGAAAATTTGCATAACGCCGCCCAAATGTTCACGCAAAGAAAGAAGGCGTAACTTTTATTCTCGCTGTAGTATTGTTGACGCTGCAGCCATGTCGTTAAGACGCTGTGTGCTTCGTTGTGAAAGTGAAACTACTTTGTTTGGTCTTCCAAAAGAGGACGATATCTGCTTCGTCATGCCTAGAGCTGATCTGTGCTGGTCGCTGAGGGAATACATCAACCTTCACCGTGGACGAAGCGGAGTCCAGCGGTCGTCACATGTGGTTGCCGCTCATTCGTCGGATCCGCCGGGCGCGCCGCGCCGTTCTCGACCCCACCACCTCAGCTCACTCTAGCCCGGCCTCAGCTCACGCTAAGCCGGGGCTTCCACTCACGCTATCCCCCGCCTCAGCTCACTCTATCCCGGGGCTTCCACTCACGCTAGCCCGGCCTCAGCTCACTCTATCCCGGCCTCAACGCACGCTAAGACGGGGCTTCCCCTCACGCTAGGCCGCTTTGTTTTTCGTTGTGAAAGCGAAACTATTTTGTTTGGTCTTCCAAAAGAGGACGATATCCGCTTCTTCATGCCTAGAGCTGATCTGTGCTGGTCGCTGAGGGAATACATCAACCTTCACCGTGGACGAAGCGGAGTCCAGCGGTCGTCACATGTGGTTGCCGCTCATTCGTCGGATCCGCCGGGCGCGCCGCGCCGTTCTCGACCCCACCACCTCAGCTCACTCTAGCCCGGCCTCAGCTCACGCTAAGCCGGGGCTTCCACTCACGCTAGCCCGGCCTCAGCTCACTCTATCCCGGCCTCAACGCACGCTAAGACGGGGCTTCCCCTCACGCTAGGCCGCTTTGTTTTTCGTTGTGAAAGCGAAACTATTTTGTTTGGTCTTCCAAAAGAGGACACGACTACAAATCAGTGGTTAAATCAGTGGTTAAAATATCCAGATGTGTGCAGCATATTTTATGGAGGATTGTTTACTGATCCTGGGAGAGTAACGTTAGACTAAAATGCTGGCAGTTCTGACTCACGGTCTGTAAGTACGTTTTCATTTAAAGGATTTGCCACTGATGATTCAAACGCGAGTTT